CCCGCCCCCCCCCCCCCCCGCGCGCGCACGCACGCGCGCGCGCGCCGCGCGTAAGAAACCCCTTCCACAGTGCCCCGTGGAACCGCATTCCATGGGCCCTGGGCGGGTAGCTGCGCGTGCCAGAAATACGCTTACAGAGCGCAACCGACGGCGGGCATAGCTGCGGCGCGCACTGCCTCGGCGACAAGCACCGAACGTGAAAGGTGCGGATCGCAACTGCATGGCCCAGATCTGGCTGCTTAGCGCCGAGGGCACGATCGAGAAGTCAAGGAATGACTTCGCCCTCGTCATGGGCCTCACCACCAGGCCCAATCATCGCCCCACGGCTCCTGGCATGCCGCGAGACCACCAGCCCCCGAAACGTCAAACCCAGGGAGGCAACGAGACCGCGAACATCATCGCTCGAGCCATTGCCAACGATCACAAGCACAATTTGTGCGAAAGTTCAGCGTGGACCTGACGGGGCCTTCCAAAGAAATAGGCAGATCCAGGATCGGCTTCGATCCAGTAGGGGCGTTGGGGGTGCGGGACAGGTCAGGTCGTCGCAGTTCGCGAGCAGTCCACCCACCTTACATTGGCTGCCACGGCGCAGCGACCACTTCAAGATCGGGTCCGTGGCCAAAGCCAACAGACACATGCTAGACGGGCCGCCTTGTCTCTCCGCCCGCCCAATGTCGCTGAATCCATTGAGAATCTGCCCACCGTCGTTGTCGCCCCCAAAAGAAGCGTAGATCGGCCGCGCAACGCCCGCGCGGGCGGGCGCCGCAAACGCTCCAGCAACGCGGATAACCGGAAGCCGCGAGGTCAACAGCAGCAGCAGACTGAAGGGTGCACCATCAAGGTGCTGCTGGACCCCCCTCGCACCTGCAGTCACAATGCGCACAAATGTCAGTCGACGTGCACTGCCGCCCCGTCGGTCAACATGCACCGTCGATTCCGCGACGTCGTTGAGCTATCTGAGCATCGGAATCGCACGGAGCAAGCGGCCGCGTCGTCGCAGGACAGAGCAACGAGCCATGCATCGCATAGTCGTGGCTCCTACACTGTGGCAAGAAAAGGAGCATGCCTCGCATGGTACTCGGCAGCGTCGCGCTCTCGTTATCACGCAGCCCTTCACGCATTGCATGCATCAGCCCACATTGCCCGCCCACTTGCCCAGCAGCATAGGGCAACCCATCCGCTCCAAGGGCAGCGCAACGCCCCCACTTCACACGGCCCTCAAACTGGCGACACTCAAGTTCCCACTCAGGCCGCCACTTTGCGTCGACATCCTCGGCCCGACTGCGAAACTGCATCAGCTCAGGCCACGGCGCGCGGTCGACAGGCTGCTCCTTTAAGACCTCCCCCCCAGCGCTCGGCTCGCAGTTGCCCCCTCTCTCGGCGCCGGCGCAGACCGCGCCGCCAGAGGTCCGAGCGCCCGCGAGGAATACTCCCGGCGACGAGACTGCCGCTGCGCAAATCCCACCCCGCTGCCGCTTGCGCATCACCCATTCCTGCGCCTCCGCAAACATGCCGCCCCCCACCTGCTGCCCGCAATCCAGTTCCCTCTCCCGTTACTCATCGCGCCCAACCTACAACTAACCCGCGCGGGCGCAGAGGTCGGCCAGGCGAGCGCGCCCCATGGCCCCCGCGCAAAAATGCCCCCCCCCAGGGGCAGCGCGCGCAGCTAACGCGCGCGCATGAAAGTGGCCATATCGTACACCGCGGATCGCAGACGTCGCCCATTCGTGTTTTGTAGCCAAGCACTCGGCAGGCCTCGTTCGAAATACCCCGACAAACCCCAGTGGCGGTATCCCAGATGCGCTCCTCAGCGAGCTGCTCTCGTCGCGCGGCGGGGAGAGACAGCGGTTGCCCCGCGCAGACGCGGCCGGCCCGATCCTGGAACTCAGGGGCGCGGAACAACCGCGCCAGGAGACTTCGTTGATTCTTTCATGTCGAACACCTGGAAAATCAGCGGCCCATGGTCCGAGGAGGCACATGAGGGGCAGCGGTGACAGCGTAGTCGGCAAGCAGAGCGCTGGGGGCGTCTCTGCACATCCTGCCCAGTCGGGAAGCGCGCCAGAAAGCAGCCTTTGCACCCCGACCAACGCGGGTCGGCAAACGCCGAACGCGCTCGAGCCCACTGCTTCACCACTCAGCAAGGGCCGCGGTGCTTCCGACCCCCCCCCCATCCAAGTCTGCCCGCCTTCAACCGCGCGCCCATCGCCCGAGGGCGCGAAATTCCCGGCCCCGACCAACGCGGAAACTTTGTCACGAGACCTGGCAAGGCACCCGCAGATGCAGGAAGGCCTTGGTTCGCGTTCGGCACGCGGCAACTCGCGACCGCGAGCCTCGCCCGACGCCCAGGCATCCGCGCGGCCAAGATGCGACCATCAGACACAATGTCGCGCGAGACCGATACAAACTGCCCCCGAAGCCGAGCATGAATCGCACGCCCCCCCATCAGCACAGGCGCTGACAAAGCTGTCTCCGATGGCGGCGCCACGGGGCCGCGGCGTTCTCGAGTGCGCGCCGCGTCAGACTTACGGCGCAGTGCCAGCGTGCGTGCGCGGAGTTGCGCTGGTTGACGTGCCAGAGAAATCCGTCAAATAAAACAAACCAATCGCATAAAAAAACAACCGAATACTAGTAGTGACCAAAGATCTATCTCGTGGGCGTCGAAAGAGAAGGAGCAAAAACAAAAAAACGCACAATCTGATAATGGCGCCCTGCCCGAGAGCCATCGTCGCTCGCATCTTCGCGCAGGCGCCCCACGCAGGACCGAGGCAAGGCAGCGCAGCAAGGCGATGCGTCGGGGCAGCGAACGGCAGGCCCAGAAGGGCGCGACCAACGCGGCCCGCACCTGCCGCAGCACCTCCTTGATGCCGAAGTTCACAAAGACTTGCTCCATGTCGCCGTCCATCTTCAGCCGTGCGTGAGTTACTGGGCGCTCCGCATTCCTCGCCACGAAGACCGCTCCACCGACGCCGCAAGAACCGACTTCATACCGACCTGCCATCGCATCCGTGATCACCTTCCTCGCGCGGCCCAGCATCACGAACATGCCCCGCCTCTGCAGGTTGACGTCTCACTTCAGCCTCAAGTCATACTGAATGTCATCGGATACTGGGCTCTGGAACCTCAGGTCCCTCTGGCTCCTGAACATCGGGAAGAAGCCCCTGCACTTCGCACTCAAAGACAGCCTTGCGAGACATGTCGATGGCTTTGATCGTTATGTTATCCTGTTCCCGCTGCGGCGCACAGCGGACACTTGCATGCTCAGCGGCGCGCCGAAGCGTCCTGCCCATGAGCGGCGCCTCGAAGCCAACCAAGATCGGCCGACAAGCACCCTCCTGCGCAAGTTGGGTGCTGGGCGCACGGCTGCCGCGTCATGCGCCGCTGCCTCCCGCCCCCGTCGGCTGCTCATCGACCTTCCATGTGATGGCCTCTCCGCGGGTGTCGTCCATGGGCGTCGTCGATGACTACGGCGCACACTTCACCGCTGCCAGCCACTGATCCCCCCCCGTCCTTATTTCCAGAACGAGCCTCTCGGTGGCCTGCAGGGACGCGTTGGTGTTCGCCTGCGACGCACGAAAGGCCACACCGAGCTGGGATGCAGAAACACACGACACCTGCACATCACCGCGGAGCTGCTGCACCTCCTGCGTGTTGGCGGCCATCGCTAACAACATCTGCTTGAACAACTCCGTCGTACTGGTATTGTCTCCATCACCTGATCCTCCCCTGCTGTTCCTCGAGAAGCTTGACGTAGCCGACGTGCTCCTGCGGCGCCGAAGGCTGGTGCTCCTTCCTCCACGCAGTGACGGCGAGCTTGGAGTCGAGGTGTTCGCACGATGCTTGCGACGATCCCCGCGCGTGGCCAGCGCGCGAGTGTGCATAATGCGCGTCGCGTGCCGGGGCGCACGACGTGCGACAGAGGCTAAGCGCCATGCCCCATCGCCTGAGCCTCCCCGACAGCTGCGACGAAAGATCAAACCCCACTGCGTAAAATTGAGCCTTGAGCCTAAATGGCTACGGCGTTTGTGGGTCGGCTCTCGGGCGAGTGCAATCGGGGCGCTGACCCAAGGAACCCTAGGGCAAGAACGAGGCCCCTTTCTTTCCATAAAGTAAACTTCGGCTTCCCACCCAAAACCTACGGACAACCTGAAGCAAACCATGACAACACTTAAATAACAGGGAGGCCCTTCCAATCGAAAAGGGTTCCCTCTTCAGCGCGCCGACTGTACCCCAGGCGTGCGACTTTTTCAATGCGGGGTCCGTGGAAATCCCAAGCCTCTTCCCAGGAGCAGCCTCTCATCCCGAGCCGTTCCCTCACGCTCCCGAGGCCCGACGCGGGCTCCCCGAGGCCGAACTTGGCCCAAAGCCGTCCTGAATCTGAAGCGACGCGACCCTGTCTGGGACTGGAACGCCCTCGGCGGGCCTCGGCGGCGGCACGCTTGGGCGTGGCTTAATGGGCGGGTCACACATGGGGGGGTCAGAAACGGTCCCCTTTCGTGCCCCTTTCGGGCCCCATCCAGAGCCCCATGGGGGCTCGTTTCGGTACCGTGTGGGTACCTTTTTCGGACCACCCTCGCCACCCCCCCCCATGTATGACCCGCCCCCCCCCTTACGCGACGCCCAACACGCCCGCGGCGTCTCGGCACGCCCGCGGCGTCTCGGAGGAGGAGAACGAGGAGGAGGAGAAGGGAGGAGGAGGGAGGAGGGAGGAGGGAGGAGGGAGGAGGGAGGAGGAGGAGGAGGAGGAGGAGGAGGAGGAGGAGGAGGTGGAGGAGGAGGAGGAGGAGGAGAGGAGGGAGGAGGGAGGAGGGAGGAGGGAGGAGAGGAGGAGGAGGAGGAGGAGGAGGAGGAGGAGGAGGAGGAGGAGGAGGAGGAGGAGGAGGAGGGAGGAGGAGGGAGGAGGAGGAGGAGGAGGAGAGGAGGGAGGAGGAGGAGGAGGAGAGGAGGAGGAGGAGGAGGAGGAGGAGGAGGGCGCCGGCAGCAGGCCGGAGGCCGCGCGCGGCCTCGGCGTCTCGTAGCGCCGGGGCGCGGCGCGCCCCGCCTCGGGCGTTTGCCTCGCCGCGGGCGCCGCGGGCGGGGGCGCGGCCTCGGCCGAGGGCTCGCCGCTCCGCGTGCCGCCGCCGCCGCCGCAGCCGCCGGCCGCCGTCGCCGTCGCCATCCCTGCCCAGATGGTCTGGTACAGGAAATTTTCGGTAGCGATTTCGACGCACCCCGAATTTCGGTAGCGACCGGATCTTCCTTTGAGGGCGTTGAGATAGCGGGTTTCAGAACGCTCTGATACCGGCACTGGGCGCTACATTTCGGTATTTCGGTAGCGACCGATCTCTGCGGAGCGCTACCAGAAATGTTCGGTAGCGGACCATCAGGGTGTGACCCCCCTCGCTTGGCTGCGCGCGCACAAAAGGGGGGTAAGGGGGGGAGAGGGGGGAAGGCTTCGTAGAAGGAGGCTGCTTCTCAGAAGGCGCCTGCCTTCCATCTGCAGAGAGAGGCCCGCGCCCTCTCCAAGGAGCAGGGGTGCTTCTGGGAAGGCTCCCCCCCTCCCCCAGACCCCCCCCTCTGCGCGCGGCCGACCCGCGTCGTGAAGGCACTCACGACAGGAGGGCTTCTGCGGGGTTCGGCCCTCGCTGGGCCCCAGGCCCCGGGACCGCCAAAAGACTGCCCAGGATCGCTCCCCGGGAAGGGGTCCAGACCTCTGGGGGTCGACGCCGTGGTAGAAATACACCGCAGCAAAATACCCATACAGCAGCAACTGTGAAGAGGGGGGCCGAGGGCAGAGGAGTAGGTGGTCAGCTAGTGGAAACGCGCATTCCCTTGCACTACGGGCTCCCAGTAGCGCTGACAGGCGGGACAAGGGTGAGAGCACCGCCATGTCCACCGTGGTGGGTAGTTAACAGGGATCGCTGCCGTCTGGACCACAAGTGTAGCGGCATCGAGACGAGAGCACGATTCCTGAATACATTCAGAAGTCTGTGGCGAAACGGCTGCTGGACCAGGCTGTCCAGGGCTCCTGTCACCCCTGTGCGACTCCTCTGCGGTCCTTGCCTACCCCTGTTCGAACTCTCTACCCAAACGCTGTTCAGGAAAACTCACCACGGGAGGACTTCGGCGGTGTTCGGCCCTCGCCAAGCCCCAGGAGATGAAGAGGCGGTCCAGGGGAAGGAGTCCAAACCTCTGCGATCCCACGCCGTGAAGCACTCATCATATGGTGTCGGGGGTTTGGGTTCGCCGCCGCCGCAATCGCACTGGCCAGCATGGCCGTCGCCGTCGGCGTCGCCCTCCTCATCCTTCGACCCCCGGTGCACTCTCACGCCCCCGCCCTCCGGCCTCCTTGCCCTCCTCCTCTGCCCCTCCTCAGGGAATCCTTTTGTCGCTGATGCGACTTCCCAGCGCGTCTCTCCAAAACGCTCCTGAGAGGAATTCTGAGGCAGGCAGGAAGATGTCGCAGCGTGCAGCGAGACCGCTCAGTGAGGAGGGAAATCTGTTACTTCGTGCCAAGTTCACTCGTCCTTGTCGTCCTCCTCCCTCCTCGGATAATCCTCTTAAACCCTTTATCCTCGTTCTCGTCATTCCTCATCCCTCGTTCCTCCCCTCCTCTTCCCCCTCCTCCCGCCCTCGTTCCCTCTCCCCCCCCCGTTACTGGTATCCCTTTCTTCCTTTTCCCCATCTCTGACTTCCAGCGCTCCTTTACGTTTCCGATCAATGTGTGGCCCATGACACTTTCAACCCCTTCTCTTGGGCGATCTTCTTCGTTTCGACTCGTTCTCTGATGGTCCTGCGGCCCGAAGCGGCCCCCCGACGGCAAAGCGCGCAGGCGAAACACGAAGCCATCTGCCAGGGATCTGTACCCATCCGCACACGCAGCCCCGGGAGGCCCCCCCGGGGACGCCCCGGGGGGCCCCGACTGGACACTCACCTCCGGGTGCCCCCCGGGAGCCGGCGGAGCTCACACCGCGGCAGCCTGCGACCGCGGCGACGGAAGAGGACGACCGAGCACGAGCACGAGACCAAAGACCGCGAGAACGGCCCCGCCACGACCCCGACCGGGGAGACCAAAAGGTACCGATCCCCCTGCTCCCCAGACCTCTCCCGGGGTGCGTTCTGACCAGAATGTCGACGCGCATCCAGCGGAGGTGGCGAGGGCCTCCCAGGAGGCTCAAGAAGGGGAAAACGGGCGGAGGGGAGTGGCAATCATGGGTACCTTGTCCTCCTCGGGCCGACAACCGCCCACGGCGACGGCGAGCACGACGGATTGAGCGAACGAAGCGAACGACGCTGCCGTCGCCCCCCGAGGCCGAGAGCAGGGCCGGCGCGGCGCGCCATGCGAAGCGCCTCCATACGGACCAGCCAACAGCCGACCGAGGCCACGACAGCCGACAGGACGACGCCGACGACGACGGGCGACCCGAACAAAGGAGGAGGAGGAGGACGAGAAGGTGGAGGAGGAGGTGGAGGAGGAGGATGAGGAGGAGGAGGAGGAGGAGTAGGAGGAGGGGGGAGGAGGGGGAGGGGGAGGGGGAGCGGGAGGAGGAGGAGGAGGAGGAGGAGGAGGAGGAGGAGTAGGAGGAGGGGGGAGGAGGGGGAGGAGGAGGAGGAGGATTACCTACAATTGCTTTCCCAGCCGGCGCCTTCGCCCCAAGTCGGGCCCCGGGACTCTCACGGAGCGACCTGCCTCGACAGAGGGAAGCACAGAGATGGGGCCCGCGGGGCCCCGGTCGTCTTGTTTGCGCCGCCTTCCAGCCGGCCGGAAAAGAAGCAGTGGTCGTGGTCACTTCCCTGGTGCCAAGCTTAACGAAAATGACCACAACCACTGCTTAGTTTCTGCTGGCTGGAACCCAGACCCCCGACGTAATGAATTTTTCATTACGTCGACCACAGAGTTCTCGACCCCTTCCCCAGGACCGGTTTGTCATCCTGAGTCGTTTTTTGACGCTCCCGAGGCCCGGTGAGGGCCCCCAGAGGCCAAAAACTAGGAAAAACCTCCCGTCATGATTTTTTCATTACTCGAGGGGGTCTGGGCTTACCGAAAATGACCACAACCACTGCTGAGTTTCTGCTGGCTGGAAGGCGGCAAGAACAGAAAAGCGGTGGCTGTGGTCGCTTTCATAGCCCAAAGCTGGTCCGAGCGAGGGCGGCTCCCCGGGCGGCGCCCGAGGGCCGCCGCGGCGGAGGCCTCCGGGGGGCCACCCGAGAGCCGCCCGAGGGCCTGCCCAGCGCCCGACGCTACGACTATGCCAATAATAATAAGAACAATAATAATAACATCAATAATAATAATATTACGAATAATAGTACGAATACCAATAATAATACTAATAATACTAATAATAATAATATTAATAATAATGATAATAATGATAATAATAATAATAATAATAACAAAAGTAAAAGTAATAGTAATAATAATAATAGCAATAATAATAACAATCGTAATAATAATAGTAATAGTAATAGTAATGATAATAATAATAATAGCAATAGTCATAATAATACTAAAGAGGAAGAAAAATAATAATAAGAAGAAGAAGAAGAATAAGAAGAAGAAGAAGAAGCAGCAGCCATAAACACAACAGGTTGGCGTTCCGCGCAGATTTCTTCTTGGATCCGCGCTGGGCACCCCCAGCGGCGCTTCCGGCGCCTCTAGGGGGGGTTGCAGCGCCGATCCAAGAAATCCGCGCGGAGCGCCAGAAGTTTATGTTTATGATGCTTTCTTGCTCATCTTCGAGTCAAGGCGCGGCCCTGGCGGTCCCGGCCCTCTTCCAGTGGCAGATCTTCCTCCCATGCAGAGTCGTTCTTGATGGCCCTGGGGCCCGGGAACGGGCCTCAGAAGCTGACGTCGAGGAGCACCGCCAGGACTGCAAGAGTCAGACCGTCGGAGGTCCCGGTGTGGCTTCCGTCCTATATCTTGAGTGATAGGATGTTCAGATGAATGAGCAGCTGTGGGTTCGAGACTCGGGAGGCGAAGCAGCGTGTGCGATCCGAACCCACGCTAGCTGAAGGCAGAAGCATCCGCTTGCTCCCGCTCCTGCTACAACTGGTAGCGGAGCGAGATCCAGCCAACGGGCCACGGGTGGCGGCGCTCCGGCCTGAGAGGCCAGACGCGTCCCGCTCGCGACCCTCTCGCCGCTCGCTTGCGCCGACGAGGTGCACAGGACCCACGGCAGATGCCCGCCAGACAGCAAGACGGGCAGGTGAGGAACCTCCAGGTGAGACAGGGGGCTTTGGCGATGGCAGGACGGACCGGCAGTGCATCGGCTGCCTCAGCGGACGCCGCGCCGTCGCCAGTCGCTGCTACTGGCGCTGGGCATCCCTCACCGGAGGCACTGCGCGAGGTCAGCACCAATATAGTGCAAGATACTATTCGACAGACCTCAGCGGATCAGAAGGGCTATTTTGGCAAACCAGGGACAGCAGCAGAAGGATCATGGGCAGGAAAACGCTCTTTGGCAACGCGGACGAGCTCAGCCGACAGCAGATGATTACGTTGAGCCCAAAGCTGTCCGCAAACGTGAAGAGAATTGGTAGAAGAGGAAACGCCACACGGAGTGCGACGACGACCAGAACTGGCGCAGGACTGACGACTGGGAACGGACAACCACCTGGTGGCGAAACGACTCCTGGTGCGGCCTCTGAACACAGGCGGCTGGGGTAACGCAGTTCTGGACCCGCTCGAGGCGACTTCTCAGACCCCATACGGCGTGGCTAGGATAGGCACACTACTGTACCGACAGTAGAGACGCGCCACCATGCGCTGGCACAACAACACAGATGTAGCAGTGTGGCGCCGTGGAGAGCACTTCCTCAAACCATTCCAGGGAAATCTGCAAGCGCGGTCGGAAGACATGCCTGACAGCGCTCTCTCGAGCGAGCCCTGGCTCGACACAACCTTATCGGCAGGATGGACGCGATGATAGGCGAACGTGAGGGCGACGACCTGAGGAGATGTGGGCGTCGTGCTCTGCCTGAGGTGGCCCGTGGAAGCAAGGAGACCCTCGCCCGGTTCGCGAGCCGGCGCGAGGCAGAGCTCTCCTCGAGGCGGAGGGCCACGAGCCGTGGAATCTCGACGAAGCTCAGAAAGGCCTGCTGCCAGCTCGACTTCCAGACCCAGACATGATCGCGTCGTCAAAAAGTCAGGACGGCAAGATGTTCACCATGCTCGGCCCTTGGGGGCCTTCGCCGGGCCCCTGGAGCGTCAAAAAAGGACTCAGGACGAGGGGAAGGGGTTGGGACTTCCAGGGGCCCCGCATTGAAACAATCAAGACGTCGCATGTCTTGGGAGCATCGCCTGGGCCCTCAGGCAGGTGGACTCGACCGGGACGGAGAAACTTCTGCCTGGGCTCCCTGACGCTAGGGCCATAGCGGCCCTCCACTTCTGAGAGCTACGGTCCGGATGCCGTGCAGTCTGACCTAGGCCCGATGCTCAGTCTCCTGCCTCTTCCTCCTATCCTCAGGGTCGGTCAGACGGGAATCACGATTTCGACGACGGTGGTCATGAGGAGGACTGAACCTCTTCATATAATAGATTCTTCCCAACCCTCCTTGGTTGGGTATTCTTTTTGAATAGAGCACCGCGGTCGCGTCTTCTCCTCCTCCCGCCTCCCGCCTCCTGCCTCCCGCCCCCTATCTCCCGCGAGACCTCGCCGTCCCTGTGGGGGGGGCTGCGATCTGCGGAACTTCCGCCACTTTCGAGGGCTGCTAGTGGGTCCAGCGAAGTGATGCACCGCGCAGATCTGAGCTAGACGTCGCCGTCCATTAGGGGGCTGCGATCTGCTAAACAGTCGCCACTTTCGAGGGCTGGTGGGTCCAGCGGAGTGAGGCACCGCGCAGATCTGAGCTAGACCTCGCCGTCCATTAGGGGGCTGCGATCTGCTAAACCGTCGCCGCTTTCGAGGGCTGCTGGTGGGTCCAGCGGAATGATGCACCGCGCAGATCTGAGCTAGACCTCGCCGTGCATTGGGGGGCTGCGATCTGCTAAACAGTCGCCACTTTCGAGGGCTGCTGGTGGGTCCAGCGGAGTGAGGCACCGCGCAGATCTGAGCTAGACCTCGCCGTCCCTGGGGGGAGGCTGCGACCTGCGAAGCTGTTGCCACTTTCGAGGGCACCGCGCGATCAGAGCTAGGCACCGCGCAGATCTGAGCTAGACTTCGCCGTCCCTGAGGGGCTGCGATCTAAGAAACTGCCGCCACTTTCGAAGGCTGCTGGTGGATCCAGCGGAGTGAGGCACCGCGCAGATCTGAGCGAGACCTCGCCGTCCCTGGGGGGCGCTGCGATCTGCAAAGCTTTCGCCACTTTCTAGGGCTGCTGGTGGGTCCAGCGGAGTGAGGCTCCGCGCAGATCTGAGCGAGACCTCGCCGTCCCTGGGGGGCTGCGATGTGCGAAACCGTCGCCACTTTCGAGGGCTGCTGGTGGGTCCAGCGGAGTGAGGCACCGCGCAGATCTGAACGAGACCTCGCCGTCCCTCGGGGGGCTGCGATCTGCGAAGATGTCGCCACTTTCGAGGTCTGCTGGTGGGTCCAGCGGAGCGAGGCATCGCGCAGATCTGACGCAGACCGCGCCGTCCCTGGGGGCGGGGGGGGCGATTGCGAAACCGTCGACACTTTCGAGGGCTGCTGGTGGGTCCAGCAAAGTGAGGCACTGCGCAGATCTGAGCTAGACCTCGCCGTCTCTGGGGAGGGCTGCGATCTGCGAAACCGTCGCCACTTTCGAAGGCTGTTGGTGGGTCCAGCGGAGCGAGGCACCGAGCAGATCTGAGCGAGACCTCGCCGTCCCTGGGGGGGGGCTGCGATGTGCGAAACCGTCGCCACTTTCGAGGGCTGCTGGTGGGTCCAGCGGAGTGAGGCACCGCGCAGATCTGAGCTAGACCTCGCCGTCCCTGGGAGGGGGGCTGCGATCTGCGAAACTGCCGCCAGCCACTTTCGAGGTCTGCTGGTGGGTCCAGCGGAGTGAGGCACCGCGCAGATCTGAGCGGGACCTCGCCGTCCTTGGGAGGCTGCGATCTGCGAAGCTGTCGCTACTTTCGAAGGCTGCTGGTGGGTCCAGCGGAGTGAGGCACCGCGCAGATCTGAGCTAGACCTCGCCGTCCCTGGGAGGGGGGCTGCGATGTGCGAAACCGTCGCCACTTTCGAGGGCTGCTGGTGGGTCCAGCGGAGTGAGGCACCGCGCAGATCTGAGCGGGACCTCGCCGTCCTTAAGGGGCTGCGATCTGCAAAACTGTCGCCACATTCGAAGGTTGCTTGGAGGGCCAGCATAGCGATCTGCGAAGCTGTCACCAATTTCGAGGGCTGCTGGTGGGTCCTGCGGGGCGAGGCACCGCGCAGATCTCAGCGAGACCTCGCCGTCCCTGGGTGGCTGCGATCTGCGAAGCTGCCGCCAGCCACTTTCGAGGGCTGCTGGTGGGTCCGGCGGAGTGAGGCACCGCGCAGATCTGAGCGGGACCTCGCCGTCCTTGGGAGGCTGCGATCTGCGAAGCTGTCGCTACTTTCGAAGGCCGGTGGCGGGTCCAGCGGAGTGAGGCACCGCGCAGATCTGAACGGGACCTTGCAATTCTTGGGGGGCTGCGAGCCTCACGAATGCCGCTCACGAATGCCGCCCATGTCGCGTCATCACCTCCGTATAACGTCTCCCAAGCTACAGATGCCCCGCATTTCGCAGGGGGTGGGTACGTCGCCAGGGTAATTTTGAGCGCGGTCTTATTGACGGACTTGGGACCGAAACGATATAGGACAATAACTCGTCTCCCGCGGCGGCCACTGCTTGGGAGGAGGAGGAGGAGGAGGAGGAGGGACGAATCTCAACTCCCCGCCGGGAGCTTAGGGTGGGGCCCTCGGCATGAAAGAACCTTCGCGGCTTTCAGGGATCGAGCGACCCCGAGCCGCATCGAGCCAGAACAGTCGACCCAGACATGCGACGTCTTGATTTGTTCAAGACGGGGTCCCTGGAAGTCCCGACCCTTTCCCCGGGACCGGCTTTTCAGCTTGCGCTGTCTCTTGACGCTCCCGAGGCCCAGCGCGGGCCCCCCGAGGCCGAAATTGGCCAAAAACCTCTCGTCCCGATTTGACCACAAACCTCCCGTCTTCTTGCGGCGCATCGAGCCGCAGCAGTCGAGAGGAGCCCCGAGCGCGGGGGCGGCGGCGCCTCTGGCCGCCGCGCAGGCGGCGGCGCAGCGGGCGGGGGCTGCGCCGCGTCGCGGGCGCGGGGCTCGCCCGGGGAGGGCCCGCCAGCGGCGCCGGGCCTGCCGCGGGCCCCCCGCCGGCAGGCCCGGGCAGCCGCGCAGGGCGCGGCAAGACGAGGCCAGGGCGAGGAGGAGGGGGCCCTGAGACACACAAATACATGCACAAAAATAGAAGGGTTCCCCATATTTTCCTATATTTCCTGAGATTCTGTCCCCCCCCCACTTCCCATATTTTCCCATATTTTCCTGGGGATCGACGATTCATTGTGTCTGTGTGTTTTTTCCCCTCCTGAGAGGAGGAGGTCGGGTGAACCTGAGATCCTGTCGACACCATTCTTTCGAGCCGGGCGTTCTTGTCCAGTTCCGGGCCCCGGGGCCCTCACAGATCGATCCGGCTCGAAAACAGGCGCAGAAAGCTGGGGTCTATGTAGAGCTCCCGCCGTGAGCTTTCACGATGTGAAGCTTCGTCCGCAACGTCGGGTCCCAGGGAAACCAGGACGAGGATAACATCGGGTGTGGATAAATCGAGGACCTCTGAGATCCGGCGGCTCTGGAGGATGTATCGGGCGCCGCGGGCCTCTCAGAGCGTTCCGGCATTCCAGAGCGCCCTGGAACGGCTTCCTCCTCGTCCTATAGCCCCCGCCCGACGCGGGGCTTGCTGGGCGAGCGCAGCCCACATCTCCGACGGGATCCCAGACGTGCCCGCGTCGCGGAAGAATCCGGACGGGAGGCTCCTTCGCCGTGTTTGATCTGCCTCCGGGGGCCCTTTTACGGGGCCCTGGGGCCGAGAAAATAAAGCAGCTGCATGAAAGACCGGGCATACCAGGACCTCAACCCGGGGTCTTGCAGTTCTGAAAATCAGAACTTAACAACATGAACATATAAGGACCTATGGTTTTTTTAAGTAAGAACATGTATGTACAAAATCAAAGAAAACCAAGCGTAGCAGTGAAATGTTCCATTGGATGCGCAGGCGAAGTAACCTAACAGAAGAGCGCCCATCTCAATCCTGCAGACTGAAAAAACCAGGCCGCCGCATGCCGTATGCGATGGTTGTGTCAGTCCCGGCGATTCTCCTCCGTGGCAGCCTCTAGGCTCTGGGGGCCGTCACCTGCCCTATGTGGGAATCAAAAGAGGCATCAAAAGAGGAAACCGAAGGATTGCCCCGGGTTTGTTCTCGATAGGGCTTCTAACGCCAAGTAAGGAAGCCCGAACCCCCCGAGATCGGCCCCCCGTCGTGGCCCCCGAGCTTCTCCTTCGATCTCGGAGTCCAGGAGCAGCTTTTGTTGCAGGCCCAAGCCCCGTGAACAAAAAAGCCTGGATGACAAGCTGCCTCCAGGGAAGCGGTCGGGATCGCCTGGACGACTTCCAGGAGGCGGACCTCGACAGGCTGAAGAAGGTGGCCAGGTCCTTCAAGAAGAAGACTGGGATAGGCGTGGATCGCTGGCAGCCGTCTATGTTACAGGGGGCTTCTGACTCAGCGTACTGGGGCCTACTGGACATCTTGAGGGAGGTGGAGCGTACGCTGGTGTGGCCGAAGCACGCGGCCACGATCATCTCTTTCCTGATTCCGAAGAGCGTGGAGGCCGACCGCGTGATTGGCCTGTTGCCCGCTTTGGTCCGAGTGTGGGAAATCCATGCTGGAGCCGTACCTCCGGGCATGGGCCACGGCTAACCAGCCTTCGTGGGACTGCACGTCCCGCGGCAGGGCGGCGGAGGACGCGGCTTGGGAGGTGCGGTTGGCCAGGAGAGGTGGAACCCACGGTCATGGCCACAATGGCAGTCATCTTGGACCTGGTCAAGGCCTTCGAGCGCGTCAGTTTGCACGTTCTGTGGGAACGGGGCAAGCGCATGAAGTTCCACACGGGGGTCTTGGCGGTGGTGTGCTCCTATTTCGCGATGTCCAGGCGCACTGTGGCGGGGGAGTCGGCGTCTATGGAGACGTCAACGGTGGGCACCATCGTCGCGGGCAGTGAGTCCTGAAGATGGTCATCCGGGACACTGTTGACACGCTTGTGGTGGAGCACCCGTTGGCCACGTGGCGTATGCATGTTGGCGACCTGTGTATCAAGCAGCGGGGTGCGCAGCAGCGGGTGGCGGACGTGTTCCCCCAGATCGTTGACGACAGCATGGAAGGCTTCGCGGGCTTGGGTCTGGAGTTCTCGGTGGGTGTGCAGGGCAAAGGTGCGGCCATCGCCAGCACCAAATGGCTACGCGAGGCTGTGCGTGCCGACATGGACGAGCGGGATTTGTCAGTGGTACGAGCGTGTCCCTACCTCGGGGTGGACATGGTTGCGACGGGCACGGCAACCACGGCAAAGAGTAGCCAGCGTTTCAGCAAGATGAGGAAGCGCACCAACAAGCTCCTCGCATTGGGCCGAGGTGGAAGGGCTATGTCGAAAGGTGCAGGGCTGGTCTACAAGTGTGGACTCAAGCGGTCGGTGCTGTATGGATGCAAGTGCCTGGGCATGCCAGATCATCAGCTCCAGCATCTGCGGCGCGCGGCTGGGAAGATATTGCCAGGATCGCGGGGGGCCAGGAGCTTGACCTTGCAGCTTGCCCTGGCGCAGGAAGAGCCCACAATCGAGGCCACGGAGGCCCCTGTCCTGCGGTGGGCCCGCGCTGCGTGGGAGATCGCGGTGGCGGACGAGCTGGTGCGTGCTGCGGCTCACGACGCGGTTGCGAGCTCGATGGTGCAGCGCATGGGCCCCCAGCCAGATCAGCACAGGGAGGAGCTAGCGGAGGTGGTGGCCGATTGCCATGATCTGAGTGAGACCTTGGGCCTTTGGTCGTCGCTTTGGCTACTAGATCTGCGTGGTGATAATTTTCAGAGCATCGATGCCTGGCTCGAATGGTGCGTTCCTTTTGTGGTGCAGTATTTGCCTCAGCCGACGCGACAGCCCTTGCAAGAAGCACTGCGGCGGCGTTTCCGTGTGCTTTATGGTGTTCAGGATGGGCTGCAGCTGACGGAGCACCAGGTCGCTGGGGCACTCTGCAGGGAGGCGTGGACGGGTTCGGGGTGGCGAAGGCGAGCATGGCTGCGCCAACTCGATGGCTTGGATGACGATGAGCGCATCGACGAGATAGAGCATCACTGGCGCGAGCTGCGCGGCTTGCGCCGACGGCTCAGGCAGCTGCTCGAGGACGCGGTACCACCGCAAGCGCAGGATGAGCTCGGAGCGGGGCCTCAGGACTGCGACTGGGAGTGCGACGACGACGGCGACGCGGTCAGTTTCCTCCAGCGCATCGTGAAGGTCAGCAGCCAGCGCGGTCTCAGCGAGGCTGAGGTCAGCGGTCGTCAGCGGGACGGCAACGAGAAGGAGGTGGTGCGGCAGCAGTTGCAGGAAGCTCGGAAGAAGCAGCAGATGATGATCGGCATGCAGCCGCAGTGGAGTCGTGTGAAGGGCCCTGCGGGAGCGATCATCATGTCCTTGAAGAAAGCGGGGTGGTCGTGGCCGAGCTGGAACACCTTCCTCACGCGCGAAGGGGGGAAGGTTGACATAACTGAAGTTTGCCGCGCGGATGTGGCTGCCCTGCTGCGGGCAGATGTGCAAGCGGTGCTGTGGCGAGGTTGGACTGATCAGGAGGAGCATCGTTCGCTTGCACCAGCACCTCTGCTGCAGCCAGTGTCTGCGCAGTTGGCGGCGAGGGGCTTCCCCAAGCATGCCAAGAACGCGGCGCGCGAGGGGCTTTCGGAGTGCAGTATTACCTCTGCAGATATCTGCTTGGGATGCGGTGAGGCGGTGGGCACGCCGCATCACAGGTATTACAAGTGCGCTCGCCTTCGAGAGGTTCGGCTTCGAGGGCAGCCTGAGTGGCAGAACATCGCGGAGCTGCAGGAGGGCGTCTGATTGTGGACGCGAAGGCTGGTACGTGATCCCTCTGCGGACTGCGATCGTTCACGCTACCTGGGGAGAGGATCTAAGGGTGTGGCCCGATCAACGAGCGTTGCCCTGGGAAGAAACACAACAACCATCTGAAAATCGCAGTCTCCTCCCAACCCGGCAATTGTCTTTCTGAGCTGCCCGCCTCCAGACAGGCGACGTCCTGATTTTCTCAACGCGGGGTCCGTGGAAACCCCGACTCTGTCCCCAGGACTAGTTTTTCATCCCGAATCGTTGTTTGACGGCCCCGAGGCTTGGCGAGGGCCCCCCGAGGCCGAAATTTGCAAAAGACGTGCCCTCCCGGAATTTGTACGACGCGGTCCTGTCTGGGCCAGGGTCCTCCCAACCCGGTAAGTGTCTTTCTGAACTGCACGCCTGCTGCCCTCCTCCGCGGACGTGGCGCCGCTGCCCTGGCGGTCCTCCGGCGGCTCCACGGCGCCGTGGCTATCCATGGAGCTCGGGCCCGCCTCCGCGGCCGCGGGGCGCGCGGCTGCGGTTCTTTTTGTTAGCTGCCCCGATGCGCAGCGCGCAACACGCAGGGTGCTGACACGGAGCGCCACAGGCAGACCGAACACGTACGTTGGGCACGGCACGCTCGCCAAGACGTGGCCCGACACGTGCCGAGCCATTCCGCAGCGTGTGTAGTGGTGGGTACGTGTTGGGCACGGCCCGTGTTGCGCTTCCACGCACGGGCGTATCAGGGCAGCGAAGCCTTCTTTTCGGATCCACCCAGCTGGCTGGATGGTTGTCGGTCGCGATCGGCAGCGACCGATCGGCACTCCAGATCTGAAACGAGGCAAGGGCGCGGATAAACACTGGGGCCAAGACGAATCGAGAATCTCTGAGTTCCCACAACTCTGGAAGATGTATCAGGCGCCGCGGCCTTCTCAGAGCGTTCCGAGACGCGCGAGATCGTTCCGGAACGCTCTGGAACGGATGGAGCCCCGCCCGAAAATCTGTTGAGACCGATCTTGAGCAGTTGGTCGCGACCGATTGGTCGCGACCGACTTTCAAGCAAATCGGTGGCAAGAGACCCCGGAACTTGAAGCTGAATCGGTAGCGACCGATCTCGTTGGCCGCGACCAGAAAATTGTGGCAACCAGCGCTAAAGGGCAGACATGATTACTTGCATGGCAGCTCCCTCCTTCCCTCCGCCCCCACCCTTTTCAGGCAGCGCTGGGCCGAAAGGGCGTGCAAGTGAGGCCGACTTTCGTGAAGCCCAGATTTCCTTTCGGGCCTCGCCACGCCCCCCCCCCACGCCTCCATGCACGTGCACTCGCCCGGAAACTAGGGGAAAGAACTGGCCTCTCGAGGCTCGAGGAGCACGGCTCGAACTTATCGTCCCAGATCTCGGGCGATCTGCTTTTTCCAATCAAGACGTTTTTCCTAAATTTCGGTTTCTGGGGGCTGTTGGCCAGCCGGGATTACCTCTGGCAACGCCCGACTTCTTGGCAGGTTGGAACGAGAGGATCGATGGCTTCGGTTTTTGCATGCTAGGTTTTGGTCGGCCTTGGGCTTCCGAAGCCCATGGAGGCCGCTCGAAACTTCCGCGGGACTCTAGCGACATCCGGAGGCCTCTAAGGATTGTGGGCCACCTTGTGGCTATAGAAAACAGATATACACGTCCAGGAGCCACTTCCCGATCACTGAGAATTTGAATAGCACGTGCACAGGCTAGCGAGACAAGATACATCTAGAGACTTCCAGGGGACATCTGGTTGCATTGCAATACAAGGCTGAAGTACACGATCACTGAGAAGTCGAGTGACAGAACGACAGGTCAGGGGCACAGCATCGTCTCCCCGCGTGCGTACATATGTTGATTTGGGTGCTCACGTATGCGCTGAAGAAACATTCGAGCGAGCTGCAAGTTCGGAAGCAACGCAGTGGACGAAGCAAGACACATTGGCCCAGAAGCAGACTGGTCCACCAGGCATACAACTATCTCGGGGCATGAGAAAGAGATAGAAATGGCGAGACGAGGTCAAACTGGAAATTTCCGCGAGAGCGCCGACTAGCAGAAGATGGGTGCATTGCCGCGAAAGCTTTGAGGGGCGAAGGGAGAAAGAGAGAGAGGGAGAGAGAAATAACAACAACAACAACAACAACAACAACAACAACAACAACAACAACAACAACAACAGCAACAACAACAGCAGCAGCAGCAACAACATCAACCACAACAACAACAACAACAGCAACAGCAACAACAACAACAACAACAACAACAAAAACAACAACAACAACATACATAGAGATATGCTACAACTTTTAGAAAAGAGGAGGGAAAAGGGAGAAAGGAGAGAAAAGGGAGAGCGGAGAAGGAGATAGGAGAGAGGATAGATGAGGGAGGTGGGAGAAAAAGAGAGAGAGAGAGAGAGAGAGATGGGAGGAAGAGAAGGGGGGGAGAAGAGAGAGAGGGAGAGAGAGAGAGAGAGAAAAAAACATAGAGAGAGAGGGAGAGCGAGACAGAGGGAGAGAAGCAACAAGGGCGTCGGACAGAGGGAGAGAAACAACAAGGGCGTCGGGGGCCCCAGACCCCCGACGTCCCCCGGAAGTCTCGGCCCATGCCCCAGGACCGGCTCTCCATACCGAGCTGTTCTCTTTTTCTGCGGACCCGAGGCCCAGCAAGGGCCACTGGAGGCTGAACACAGAAAGAGACCTGCCGTGATGTTGTTTCGTGACCCGGAGGGGGTCGAAGAAGGGAGAACGGCATCATTCGTCCGGCGACCACAACTCGGCGAGAGACTCGCGACGGCGTTGCGCGCGTGGACAACCGGGCCTCAAAAATCCTAGCCAAGCCAACCTGGCCTCAGATAGCGACGGGCCACCGATCTTAACGAGGGGGAGGAGAGGTGACGGCGGCGGTGACGGCCTGCGCGGGCAGCTTCTGCGGGGCGACCGTCTCGGCGGGGGCGGGGGCAGCCGCGGGCGTCCGCAGCAGCTCGGCCTCAAGGGTTTGTTGTTGCCTGTTGGCTCGTCCTCTTCCTCTCTCTCTCTCTCTCTTTCTGGCTCTCCCTCTCTGCCTCTCTCCCTCTCTCCCACCCTCTCTCTGTCTCTCTTTCCTCTCCCCCCCTCTCCGTCTCCGCCTCCTCCTCCTCCTCCACCGATGTGCGCAGCTCCCCGTTTTTCCGAGTGCGCACAGCACTTCGAGAGGAGCCCAGTGGCCGAGAGCAGAAAGACGGCGCGACCGGCGCACGAAGGAGGGACGCCAGACGGAGAGGGGCGACGGAGGGCAGAACACGGTAGGGTCCATGATGGAGTAGAATACGAGACGATAGGGGTCGTTTCTGGAATTCCAGGTCGTCTGTGAAACGCGTCCTGGGGCATAGGGCAAGAGCCAGCACCAGGGGGTGGAAAGCGTGGGAGGGGTAGGATGTCAGATGTGGCGGGAGCGTAACCAGCTTGTCTCTCTCTCTCTCTCTTTCTCTCCCCATCTCTCCCTCCCTGTCCGACCCACAGGGGCGGAGGGGGGGGGCACCCCGTCGATCGCTCTGGGGTGTGGTGTTACGTAGAAAAGGGGGGAGGGGGGCTGGAGGGCGCAAGGACCCTCAGACCCGCCGTCACAGAAAAATTGCAACACAGCGACGAAATCACGACTGGAGCACTAAACTAAATCTGTCTGCAACATTTCTCTAGCTGGATGAATATATGGAGGCCCTGGGCCCCCATGCCCGAATCCGGGCTCAAAAAACACCAAGCGTCAAGAAAAGTGCAACGCCCGGATCTCAGGGTCCACTTCTTCCTCCTCCACATCCTCCTCACCTTCCAGAGGGGGGGGGGCAGCGGCGAGGAAGGGAGGATGCAGGCGAGAACTGCTGAGGGTCACTGACCAGACTGCCAGGTCTGCAAGCGGGCCGTCGTTGAACAGTCCCTCGGGCAAGTCATGGCTGCGCCGAGGACTTGCCAGTGTGGGGCACTCATTGCGATGGGGCACACCCCAACTCGCTGTTATGGGGTTCCCATGTCGATAGGAAGGATGAGGAGCACGGATGAGTCCTGCGAGATCTGCTGAGGATGAGGGAGCAGCACCGAGTGCGCAGGCGAAGAGAACTGCTGCCCGATCAGCAGGTCTGCACCGCATCGGCCCCCCAGCCCCATCAACACCATCTTTGAAGGCAACCAAATGCATCTCCGATTACATGTTGCACGTAGGCGCCGTTGCTACTTCGGCTAATGCTGCAGCGCGCTGCCAACAGCCAATTCTCCTCGAGCTGGATCAACGCCGATCCGAACAAATGGGTCATAGATCTGTATCGTGCTGCTCTTCCTCCTCCCCCGCCTCTAGCCTCGCGTGCTGCCGCTGGCAGGCCAGAGGGCCAGGGGAGATCGTCGACTGCGCCCTCTGGCAGGCCATCGCCTGCCACCGGCAGGCGGGGTGCCCAGGGGAGGTCGTCAACTTTGCCCTGCGGCATGCCATCGCGGGGACCAGCTTCCCGCAGCAGCCTGCCCGAGAAGATCCCCGAGTGCACAAAAACCCTCGTGCTGTCGTGTGATGGTTCAGCGACTGCCGGGCCAGGTGCCGATGCTTTTGGTTTTGAGGGCTTTCTGTGCCTCATCTTCCTGGACCTCATTTCTGGACTTCTGCGGGCCCACCGACCTGGATCCGAACGCGCCTGCATACATAGGTGCCGTCCATAAGTTCAATGTTGTTGTGAGCTCTGTGCTATATTTTTGGTTTTCTCGTGAGTCCGTGGCTATGTTGTCTCCTCACCATCTTCAACATCCATCATCATCGAGCATGACTCGGAGTATGCGGTTGGAGTGGCTCAGCGGCACGCCCAGGAACGGACGAACCTCTGACTTGTACTCTGGTGTCGTCACATGCTTGATCAGGTTATTCGTCATGTTGTATCCAGAAATGTGGAAGCCCACACTGGTCTATCCTTGACCTAGTGTGCTGGCCATCTGTCCGAAAGTGGTGCCGATGGGATTTTGTGGCCCTGCTGATGTTCATAACTGGGCGGCCTTTCTGGCTATAGTCGGACCTGAGCCAGAAGAGCATCCTTCAAGAACATGAGGTCCTCCGCCGACCAAAGCACCCCAGACCCTAAAATGATTCGAAGATACCCTCCCCCAGGATGCTCAAAAACATCCAACAAACACGGAAAACAATATGGTATCCTCCCCGAACCGACCTCGACCTTACACCTCAGTCCGACTGTAATACATGTGTTTCTGAGGACAGGCAGCCCCTGTTCAATTTCCCCACGCGACCTGTTCAAAATGGACACCCCCCACAGGCCGACCCTTCCCCAAACACCGTCTTTCTATCCCTGGGGCCGTCTCTTGACAGCCCTATACGGAGTGCCCAGCGGGGGGCCCAAGAAACGGCGACAGACCTCCGACTCTGAACTGTGCCAGTGCGTTGGATGTCTCGGGCGGGTGGTAATGGGGGGTGACCTTACCGGGGGTGGCGAACAAATCCCCACAAAAGACCCTTTAGCCTTTCGGGGCCCTTTGGGCCCCTGCTGGCTTTCAGGGGAACTGTGACGGCCCTTTTACGGCTCTTTTCTTCACCCCCCATTCAGGTCCCCCCCCATTACTACCCGCCCGAATGCCGGGGTCCTGCGCGATCCGCCAGGGTGCACTCAGGAGGCCCCAGGGCATGAGCGGGGCCCGGCCGTCCCCGCATTCCAATAGGCCTACCGCGACATATTCTCAGCACCAGGACCTTTTTCGATACCAGAAACAAAATTCTTCGAACAGGGAACCGATGTGATAAAAAACAAAACAGTCCCAGCCAGACATGTCCGAAAAATACTTCGTGCAAGCCACAAACATGTCCTGAAATATTCTTTGGTGGGCGCATCACCAGGCCAGATCGCGTCGCCACTGCTTGAAGGGCGCTCGGCCGCGCGCGCGCGCGTCTGAGGCCCGCGCGAGCGGCAACGTCTGCTGCCAGCGCACGTCGGCGCGGCGCCTCACTTCCCCCAGCATCTCCCGCATGCTCTCCTCGCCGCGGGGCGGCCCCCCGAGACCCACGCGCTGCAGTTTGCTCCCTCGGGGGCGTCCGAGGGGGGGGCGTCCACCAGGGGGGGGGGGGGCGCAAGCCATGGCTGGCGGCACGTGCGCGGCTCATCAACGGGGGGGAAGCATATTGAAATGAGGAGAGGCGCCATGAAATCCACACCCACTTGGTTATGATGACGCGCCGATTTAGTCATCACCCACTTGATCATCACCCGCAGGAGATATCATGGCCCCCGTCATGATATTCACACCCGCCTAATCATCCCCCCTCCTCTCTGCCGCGTCCAATTCACACCTGGCGTCTTCGCCCAGTTCCAGGCCCCGGGACCCTCGCGGATCCATTTGGCTCGAGCACCACAATCTCAAAGAGAGCGATAGCAACGCAACAAAAGCTGTACACAATGTTGACCCGACACGCTTGCGAAGCCCTAGAGGTTGTGTACGCCCTCGATTGGCCTTCTGGCCAATGGCGAGCATTGAACAGATCGTCCGGATTACCGCTCTCGCACGAGCTGAGCAATGCCGAGCGAAAGCTGTGACCCGGCAGCGAGGCCGATATTCGGCCGCTGCCTGGGTCCATCAAGGCGGGAGCACCTGGAGGGACAGGCCCCAAAATACACGAAGGTCCAGCGAGCCCTGCGGCGAGACCTCCGTGCACCCGCCTGCCAGCGTCCCATCTGTACACGTGCGTGCCCGTCTTTGACGAGTCGCAGGCCCAGACAAGTCTGACTGAGTGGATTAAGCCAGACAAAGTCTTGCTCGCAAGAAGGAAGACGACGACGAAGAAGGGAGGGAGGCGAGCGAACGCCTTCGTCGAGCGGCCTGGGGCTGGGAGCGCCCTGCCTGGCCACACCCCGCCGGCCATCTGCGACGCAAAATCATACGCAACCTAAGGAGGGAGGAAGGGAGGCGGGAGGCAGAGGAGGAGGAGGAGGAGGAGGAAGAGAAAAGTCTGCAGCGGCCATGCCTGCGCTGGCCCTCGGCCCGACACTTCGCACCAGCAATCGGCCTCCGGGTCCGAAAGAGGAGGGAGGACAGGGAGGAGAGGAGGGGGAGGGAAGGGGGGCAGCAAGCAGGCAGGCAAGAAAAGGGCGGCGGGGGGAGCACGGCCGCCAGATGTGAGCCACCTGACCCCGCGAGGTGCGAGTACCGCGGACATGCTAGGCATGGATATCCGTCCGCACTATGTCAGCCGTAATTGTTCTCGTGCGTGTTTTGCGCGACGTCGGATCTCCCGGGGAGATCCCTGACCTCCCACAGTGCCTAAGCACACGCGGTATGGAACTTTCGGTTAGCAAGTGGCGGCGGCGGCCCCGTCGCTGCGCTCCGCGGGGCGGGGTGCCGGGAACAGCTCGGGACGTGGTCGCTTGGGAATGGGAGCGTAGATCGCGCGTCGCGCCGAAGCTTGGCGAGCCATGACCCGCGGAACGACGCGCAAAGCCACAGTTCCTGACCGTCTTCCAGATCTGCAGAACTCTGCCAGGTCAACTCTAGCACTTCGACACATGAAGCTGGATCTGGAGGTCCCTGGCGCCGATGTGCAGCCTTCCTTGCTGGCCGAGGCCAAACAGGAGGGGCGAGGCCCGCCGCCGAATCCCCATGCGCCTCCCGCGTTTGTCCTCCTCCTCCTCCTCCTCAGCCCTTTTTGTGTCCTCCTCCCCCGCCTCCTGCCCCTCGTCCTGATGCACCCTGAATTTGCTAAGGCATCACCGAAACAAGAATTACACACAACGCATGCTCACATGAAACTATATACTAGATACAGACATACACCTAGACATATATACACATGTTGCTTGTTAGCGCTATGTGTATGTGTATGTATACGTCGAATTATATATATATATATATATGTATATACACATACATACATACGTGTAGATATAAACATATATACACATATGTGTGTATGCCCCCCCCCTCAAGGACCCTCCACCTGTTGTTGCTTTATCCGAGTACTTTCTGTAGCCCCCGAACTGTACAGGCGGTGAACTCTCGCCGCGCTGGCCCCCGCGCTGCACAAGGGCATGCGCGATGCGCGATTGGAGAATCAGCAACAGCGAAACGGCCTATGCGCTTCTCCATGGGCATTTTCAAGCGCTCCCATTACAACTTTTGTTGTTCTCCGCGGAGTCTACGTACGGGGCAATCTCAGCGGGATCATTCAGCGGCATGATCTGCTCCTCTTCACAATCCGTGATCTCTTGATCTGCACCCCAGAATGGATCGCTGGCTGCCGCAATCAGCACGGGCAGATCGCTGCAGCGAGCTCGCAAGCGCATCTTCATATGAGAGATTTCGCTCTGGATGTCACTGCTGTACAGTGGCCCGCTGGTGGGGCGCAGAGGAACCCGAGCCGTTTGACTGCTGTCTCCGATGATTCCCAGCCGTCGAAGACGAAGAACGATCGCTTCCCTGTTCGATCACGATCTGAGCATGGATTCCGGACTAGGGGGGGTCCTCCATGGTACGCTTTCGCGTCGGGGCAGAAAAACAATCGCGACAATATTCTTGCCGTTTTCGCGCGCGTAGCGCTCTCGTCCATCCCCCGCCGTCGCCGCCGCCCACCGCCGCCCGGCCCTGCCGCTGGGCCCTCTCCTTGCAGGGCGCATGAGAAGCGACGCTGGTCTCCGCAGACCGCCCGCTGCAGCAGCTTTATTCCAGCTGGTCCACGCCGGCAGCGTCTGCGCTGCCGACCGCGCCGCGTTGGCTTTGTGCTTGGACTCGCGCGATGCCTATCAGCGCGGGTTGCGATGCCTTCACGAACGCCCATCTGCGACTCGCCGAAGACCACCACCTCGCCTGGCCCGCTGATGGCCGCGCTCTCGCCGAGCACCACTGCCTTGCGAAGAGCGTCCTGGTCGGTTTGCCAATCTCGCGGCGCGCGCCTGCCGCGGGCGGCGCGGCCGCCCCGAAACTCGGGCGCAGTGAAGACCCAGAAGTCATTGCGACGAAGCCCGACTATCAGTCGACTGGGGGCTGGCCACTCGCGCGGCGCTATACTGCTCAGCGCCCCCCCCCTCTGACCACCTAACCCGCGCGCTTGCGCGTCCCGCCCATCGGGTACCTCGGCCGGAAAGTCATTGACCTTCCCTCCCTGATGCGACTACTCATCTCCGCTGGATCTTTGTTCTTCGGGCAGGCCATGACGGCCCCCGCGAGACCGACGTGGTTCGCGAGTAGGATGACCCGGCAACCTGGGAGACGAATCGGGGAACCAAGCTGGTCTTAAATGCCCGCGAGAATCGAAGTGACTGGCGAGAGCCAGCCCTCGCTCATTGCTTCCTGGAAATCAGCGCGCGTGAAAGGAGCGAGCGGGTGGCGGGACACCCAGTGCGCCTCGCTCGCCCGCGCGCTGCTCCGGCGCGGCGACGTGCGAGCGGGGGCGCGCCTGCGCACGCCGAAACGTCTGTTGCCCCGCGCTCGCTTGAACCGAAACAGCTACGAAACTATGGCTGCTCGGAAGGAACGCTGGAGCCAAGTGCGCGACGCGACTTGCCCCCGCGGGTTCCAGCCGCCGCGCCTCCAGCTGCCCCCCCGCGCGCCCTCTTCGTTGCGATGGGCGGAAAGTGCCGCGCAATTTTTTCTTCCAAGTTTTCAAACCTGCGGCGCCTGGGCTGCGTCGACGCGGCAGGCGGTTCTCCGCCGGAGAATTGGGCGAACTGGAGACACGGGGCACCGCGGCGCTTCCCCTGCGCCGCGTCGACTAGGGGTCGGCGACGAAGAACATGCGATGTGTTGGCTCAGGTCGGCCGCCCCGCCCCGACCAGAGGCGCCGCCCCTTCTGCGTCTTTGCAGTAGTACGCGCGCAATGACCGCTGAAAGTAAGCGAGACAAACATCGACGCGGCCAACGCGCCGCGCAGGCGCCCGCCAACGTCGCGGACGCTGGGGCCACGCAAACGGCCTCGCGCGCTGCACCCCGCACTTCGCGCATCGCAGCATCCTGGCGCAGCTCGCTCGCGCCTGCGCGCCAATTGCGCGCGCGCCGCCGCGAGCCTGCTGGCGCGCGCGAGCCCCCCGGCAATTTGCGCGGCGGCACGCGGCCGCTGCGCCGCGTCTTGGACGGGGCCGCCCATGGCGACGCACCCGTGAGATGCGGCGATGGCTGCCACGGCGTGCCCGACTTCGCCCGACCCCGCGCCGCGCGTCAGGACTTGCGCCCCCGGGGGGGTGGGTGGGCAGCGCGGGCCACTCGGCTCCCAGAACGCAAGCGGGCGCTTCGTCGGCGCCGGGGCGATGGGGCGCGCGTCGCCGAGGCCGTCGGCGAGGCGGACGTCCTGAGAGAGAGGCGGGGGATGCGACGAAATAGAACGGATGAAGACGGGCTACAAGACGCGGCCAGGGAAAATATCGCGCAGGCAAGAGAGGCGGGGGGAAAGCGCGCCTTGAACTCGGGCCGCATGACTGCCCTGCCGACGCCTGGGGGATAATTCAGGAGGCTAGAAAAAACGTTGCCGTCACCGTCTGCAAGCTGGGCGCCGACTCTGCCATCTCCGTCATCTCGCCCGCGGGGGCGCGCTTGCGTAGCCAATCCTGCTGAAGCCGCTTCCTCGCGCGTCGCGCTCTGGCGAAGCCGCGATTGAATTTCCGCCGCCAGGCAAGCCTGCTCCCGCGGGGGATTCGGGTCGCCCAGTAGGCGGGGCGCCTCCTCGCAGCTGTCCGCGATCATCGGCGCGCCCCTGCTCGCGGCGGTCAGCTTGCCGAGCGCACCCAGCTCCACCTTGGCAGGCTCGTCGGTCGTTGTCTCCTCGGCGCTGGAGACGACGGCGTCCGCGGCGCTGGCTGCTTCGTCTCGGCTGCCGAGCGCGCGATGCTCCGCGGCGCGGGCGCAGCCGCGGGCTCGTCGTCGAGGTCCACTTCGCGAAGGGCTGGCATGGTCAAGGGGGATCTGCAGCGACGGCCCCCAACTCGGTTTTTTTCTGCGGGGAGGGGGGCGCCGGGGGCGAGAGGCGCGAGCGGGGGGGGCCAACCTTG